CTGTCCTTGCTAGCCAGAGAGAAAGTGATGGTACCTGTCTGTCAAGAACTTGTGGCTTTTCAGTTTGCATATTTCTTGCTAACACTGTTTATCCAGGTAGCACAGATGGGGCATATCATTTGGCAAGCTTACCCCTAAGCTTTTTACAACAAGGATGATAACAGGTGCAAGATAAGGGATACAGACAAAACCAGGAGTTCATTACAAATACATTTGCATCCAAAGCAGCAGTAGAAGGACTTGGTCTTACTTTATCTTAAAAGCACACACTTTGTGAATTCCATTCAAATATTCACTGTATTTGCATTTGATATGGTAAGTGTGTCACACCAGACAACAACATGGAACCAAACTGTGTTTGCATGGGCTTACACTCCTGTGCTAGGATAACCAAGTAAGAAATCTCTTCTCATGGCAATATGGAAGTTTTACAATGGGTGCTAAAAAACTAGAGACAAAATTCTGAGGAGAGTACATGGTCTCCCAGAGAGCAGGATTTTTGAAGGAACTTGCTAAATTAATAGCAAAGGCTTCTTAAGTCTGATGGTCCTGTTTTGATCTCAAAGTTGAAACTGGACAGTTATGATACATGAAACACTTAAAAACTTGGCCTCAAGTTCTGCATCCCTGTGTTTGTGTGTTCAAAGCATGTGGCACAGCTATGAAGAGGTTTCTGATCAGAAATGGTCAGTAACCTACAGCAAGGAGGACTAAGTTGATTAGCTGAAGTAATTCCGCTGAAGTAATTCCTTATTCTGAACTACTCTTTGTAGAAGTCTGCTGTCTGAAAAGAGATGAGACTAACCTAACAAAAGATAGGTATCAAAATGTTGCATAAGAAACGGTTTCACTCACAAATCTGCATGCAGTCTGAATCAGAAGTAATTGTAAGTCGGTAATATCGGGTTTTTACTTGATGGTGAAGGTAAAGTGTGTTGGTAGATCCATCCATTTCATGGGAGTATACCTGAATCCCAGGTAAAACCCCAGGCTTGAGAATATCAGATGAGCAGCCATTCCTATTGAGAGCAGTGCCATATGCCCATAGTTGGCAAAGGTGCCAGTGGATAAGAAAAAATTGCTGTTTCCTTTCCCTCTGTTTCACAGTTGTTCCAGTCCGTTCCTGCAGCACAAAGCCAAGGAAACTTGCAGTGGTTCTCACTCTCGATAAATCACTGAGACCTTTGTCTCCCACTGCTTTTAGCATACTACCTTGTACAACCTCATTTGTGTTTGAAACTGGGAAGGGAAAGAGCACAATAATAACAAGAAATAAACAAAGGTTTACCAGCAATTCATCTACAGAGAAACCTTCCAAAAATTAAAAATGCAGCAGCAAACAAAGATGAAACCCCTTCACTGCAATGTCCTTTGGGGCAGCTTTTCATCTTCTTCATAATTAAAGACTGAGATGTTTAAAGCATGAAAAATGGAGAAGATGTGTTTTAAAGGGGCCCAGTATTTATTAGCACACACATTAATGTATTATTCTTTGGCCAGGACTTAAATGACAGCCATTAAACTAATTTTCTTAGTGTTCTCCTTAAACAAAGATTTTTGGTTGAATACTTTTAGTAGTTCAGGTAAAAATAACTGCATATGCCTGCTCACTGCAGCATGGAACTTGACAGGAAACATCATCGTTAGTACACACAGATTTTTTCTTAACTCTGATACTGGAATGAATCCAGGATTATTCAGAAAAGGAAAATGAGAGAGAGGGAGAATATATCCTTGGCCATGTGGTATAGAGAACTGTCAGATCACTTTCTGCTCTCATCACTAGAGACAAGACATCCCAGTGACTGTCCCCCATATCCCAGTTAACGTCCCAGCCTCCAGTCATTGCATATTCTGTGGGACATCTCTCTCCTCCCTGCTCTGTTCTCCTCTGCATGAACACTTTTGTGTCTACAGGAGTATATGCAGATATCCTAAACTTCAGCCTCTGTTTGGCCAATGTGACAGCTGAGGGGCTCTTTCCTCATTTCTCTGTTGACAAATTGAATCTGGATGCTCTTGTAACAAGGGTGGGCTATAGCTGATCAGTATTTCCTTGACACAGAACGTGGGGTTTTTTCCAGAAATGCCAAGTTAGAGTAATTACTGAACTATCTCTGCCTAAACTAGCCATTGCCGTCACTAGCACTGCTGCCCAAGGATTTCAGAGTTTTGTCTGAGAAGTCAGTGGGACAAAATATTCTGCAGGAAGTACACATCAGAGAGGTGGTCACCTTTCAGCTTCTGAGAGAAATATTGAAAAAGGTGATGGAATGTGCTTTTTAACACTATGAGAAAATGAAAAATAAGTTTAGGGATGATTCTTACAAAGCTTCAGTTTTCATTTACAGTGTTAAAAACTTGCTAAAACATTAAGCCAAATCATTACTCCCACTGAGCTGGTGGCACAAAAAGCTAACTTACTAGAATCTATGCAGTCTTGTGGAAGATTTTCAATAATTACACATGACACTTAAAATATTTGTTTAAAGAAAAAAAAAAGTACTTTAATAAGAACAGTAAAAGTACAGAACAATAAGAAACAAATGACTGAGAACAAGGTCAGGATTAATATTTTATATCAACGACTGGTTTATTCTTTTCTTAGTATGAGTTTAAATCAGTTCAGCACCCTTTTTGTTCAGAGACTAAAAGAAAAGGTTAATATTTTATAAGATTTATTTATAATACCATTGAGGTTTAGAGTATGTTTATGTAACCCTTCTGCCAGGAATTGGCAGCAGCTGAAAGAGCTGGATTCGTTTATCTAGGGGTTCTCCCTGAAAACTTAAACAACAGCAGTTTCAGCCTCCACCCAAAGCTAAATGACCTTCTTTGGGTGCCCTGACAAACAATAAATCCCGCTCAAGGCATAGCAAGGGTTTAAAACAAGGTTCAGAGTTTCAAGACAGAGAGAACTTTAGACATGAGAAAAAGGGAAGAAGAAAGGCTCAGAGTAAATCCACAAGGGCCATTAATCAATAAAATAAATAATGTTAAAGCGTGATCCCTAACCTCCTTCTCTTCCCTGTCTCTGTGACACAGAATAAAAGCTTGCTCTGATTTCCAAATAGATGCCGTGTCCCTTGACCATCACTGCCCACTCAAAACTGTCCCTGTATTTGCTGCATGGCTTCACTTTGCAGCTAAGCTAATGGACACATGTATTACTGCCCACAACGCAGAAGAGCCCACCCTCTCCCAAGCCCACAGCCCCTTGCTCGGCTGACCATGCAGTGAACTAACTGAAGGCACCAAACTGGCAGAAAAGGAACTCATGAAAAACAAAGGTGAGCAGTGGATGTGTCTCTGCTGGTTTAACTCCCTGTACTGTAAAATGAAGATCAAAGTTAGCACCAAGGAAGAGGATGGCACAGCTGAGGATAGAAAGAAAGCCAGACTGCAGTTGTGCCTCTTTTTGCAAGAGCTAGAACAAGCTAGTTACTAAGAGGTAGGGCTGGTGTAGTTTTAAGATGAAACTGCTTCTAAGCATAGTGCCATTTTTCTATGAAGCTGCTGCCCTATCCTTATAGAGACCAAACTTTGAGGAAGCTGTTCTGTCCATGACTATATGGCTAACAGAGCCATTGTGTCTCTAGTTAAAATCCAGCCAGCCTGTATGGTGATGAACCCCTCTGCCAGCTAAGAGAAGGAAATAGGGCTTCTGCTGCAAAGCTGAAACACATTTTACCAAGGATGGAGACCTGGGGCTAGTTTTGCTGCCTGGGCAGAAGTGCTTTGCCTTTCTGCCTCACACAGCACACCAGCCTGAGGCTTTTCCCTGTCCCACAGCCACTCCTATGCCACACTCCTATGCCCAAAACAGGGAGGCATTTACAATGCAGCTTCCTTGAGTTTTTTGGGCACCAGGTTTAAAAACTTATTCACAGAATCAATTAAGTTGGAAAAGACCTCTGAGATCATTGAGCCAAATCTGACCAAACACCACATCAATTAGATCAAGGCACTAAGTGCCATGTCCAGTCTTTCCTTAAATACCTCCATGGACAGTGACTCCATCACTTCTCTGGGCATCCCATTCCAATGTCGCATCCTTTCTGTGAAGAAATTCTTCCTAATGTCCAACCTAAACCTTCTCTCTCACAGCTTATGCCAATTTCCTCTTGTTGAATCACTTGTCACCTGGGAGGCCAATCCCACCTGGCTACAACCTCCTCTCAGGCACTCACATAGAGCATTAAGGTCTCCTTCCTTTTCTCCTAAACGCCCTCAGTTCCCTCAGCTGCTCCTAATCAGGCTTGTGCTCCAGACCCTCCACCAGCTCCACTGCCCTCCTCTGGACATGCTCCAGCACCTCAATGTCCTTCTTGTAGTGAGGAGATGCTTCTCCCTCTCTCAGCCCCTAAATTATCAGGCTAGCCCAGAGATACGAGGCCTTGAGGGGAGGAACATCAGGAGATGGGCAAAGATTCAAAAGAGGCTCTCACCCCGATGTGGTTGTCCAGCTTCTTTATTCCATGAGGTCGGGGGAGAAAGAGAGGGGGAAAGAGAGAGAACAGCAAGGGTCATCGCCTTATCTAGGCTCTGGACAAAGAGAGCTTCTCTGCCTCTCTGCCAACCCCGTCAGGGCAGGAAGGAGGGGACACTCTGATCAGAGTCACAGGGGTCCCTGGAACTGGGGAAAAGCATAGCCCGAGCACAATGTAACAGTGAGGGGCCAAGACCTGCACACAGCACTTGAGGCGCGGCCTCACCAGTGCTCAATACTCTCACTGCCCTGGTCCTGCTGGTCCCGCCACTGCTGATACATGCCAGGACGGCACTGGCCTTCTCGGCCACCCGGACAGACGCCGGCTCACGGTCAGGAGCTGCCAGCACGCCCCGGTCCCTTTCCGCGGTCCCTTTCCGCGGTGCCTCCGGGCGCTGTGCGAGGGGCCGGGGGCGCTGGAGGCCGAGCCCGGCCCGAGCGCGGCGCCCCCGCAGCGCGCCGAGGGCCGCGCGCCCCCTGCCGGCGGCCGTGGCCATGGCGGGCAGCATGGCGGGCAGCATGGCGCGGGCCGCGCTGCGCCGGGCCGCGATCGGCCGCCGCCTGCCGCGGCCGCCGGCGCTGGGCGGGAGGGCGGCGGCGGCGGGCTGGAGCGGCCCGGCGGCCGGAGGAGCGGTGCAGTACTGCGCCGAGCTGGTGCGGTGAGTGCCGGCCGCGGGGGGCTGCGGGCGCGGGGTGCAGAGCGGGGCGGCGAGTCCGGCCTGGGAAAGCGCGGCAGCGCTTCCCACCCGACGGGAACGCTGACGAGTTCCCGGAAAGGATGGCTGGGATTGCCCAGGCCGCCCTCGGGCTCTCCTGGCCCCGAAATAGCCCGTGTGGCCGGCGGCGGCGGGCCGGCGCGACCGCGGCGTGTCGGGAGCATGGAAACCAGGCGCGTATTTTGGGCTGCGTGGATGATTCAGCCTGCCCACAGAATCACTGATTAGTTTGTGTTGGAAGGGACCTTTGGAGATGGCCAGTGCAAACCCCCGCCCAGGCAGGGTCGCCTAGAGCGGGTTACACAGGAACGCGTCCAGGGGGTGCTGAATGTGGCCGGAGGGACGCTGCGCCACCTTCCTGGGCAGCTCCCACGGCAGTACCTGCCCCTGCTCCCGCCTGCGTGGCTGCGTTTCTGCAGGAGTACTGAACGTGCTTGTTCCCTTCTGGCGGCGTTCTGAGAGCGAAATCACCCACGGGGATGTTTAAAGACATTGGGTGTTTTCAGGTCTTGGCTACCGAGAGCTAGCCATGCTTCCTGAGTGCTCCTTGGAAAAACGGGCCAAAGGACATCTGACAGCTGGAGCAGCTCAGTACCTGCTCTTTCCTAAACGCAAGAGAAAGGCTGTGTTTCCAAAGTATCCCCTTTTTTTTTTTTTTTTTTTTTTTTTGGTCAAACCCAAAATGCTCCAAGAGGAGCAGGAGTGCAGTCAGACACTTCCAGGTCAGGGCACTTTTTGTTCTTGGATTCTGGGCCGTAAACAATGTGTAGGGCCGCCCCCTTGGCTGCTTTGGAGTTCCCAGGAATTCAGTTCTTTGTAAAGTAAGATGTTAAACAAGTCTCTTAGTAAAGACCTAGGTAACTTCTCTTTGGAGACTGTTGTTCCAGATGATTGACAAAAGATGGGAGAAGGGTTCCATGTGTGCATAGAAAGAGTGGAACAAGATTATCTTCTCCAAACTGGTGCTTGTAAAAAGACAGAACGTTGTGTGTGGTCTTCAGTAATGTCTGAGATAGGAAAACTAAGGGAAAGAAATGGGACAATCTTAAATGCTCAGTATAGCACCAAGAAGTTGACCTGTACATATGCACCAGAATGGATAGCCACATTGCATTTTTCATGGTTTTCAGAATACAGCTTTGTTTTCCTAGTCATTCTACCCAGGATTTGTTTCCCTGATACTCAGGAGACCAGAGGCTGTGTGTACACCTAATATACAGGTAAATTTTATCTGCAGGTGAAATGTTTCCAGTAGCAAGCAATTGTGAACAGAATAGTTAGATTCCAATGAGATGGTTGAATTAAAACTTTTTTATATGTATTTTTGTTAAATGATAAAAGGACTAATTAGAAAAATACATAAGCATTAAGAATAGTAAAATGAAAGGTGGTTATGCTTTTGGCATTATTTAATTGAACCTGCTGTTCCCAGTAGTTCAGCTATTGCATGGAAATAATAACTACAAAAAATAAGTGGAAGGAATTGTTATTCAAACAGAAATAAAACACTTGGGGCTATGCCAGTGTCAGCAACTCCCTAGTTCTGGATTTGATACTCCAACACATTAGGAAATACAACTGAGTTGTGCTTTAATAATGTATATTTGTTTTTGCAATATGGAAGATGCCCTTTCTCTTCCGTCTTCCTTTTTCTGTTAAATAACTAAATTAACTTCAAGCTATTTGACTAAAAAAATGTTTTCCTTATAGGTATGTTTTATGTCTTTTACTGTCAAGGATGCCTGGTCTCAAAGACAAGCTTGTGGATTGATAGCTTTATTAGAAATTAATTATATGGAAAGTCCAGTTTTTATCATTACTAATTTTTCTTCTGTCTGTGGGTTCATATTTAAGCTCATACTTATTTGAAAAAACTCAATTATTTATCAAAAAAACTTAATACTTGACTTAAGGTCATTCCCTCCTTTCTACATTCCTTACACTGATACATGAAGAAGGTTGGGGTGGAACGTGATCTACAGCAATATCAATTTTATTTTACTGAGGCTTAATGGATTTGCTGCACTTAAATTTTTAAGCCTGGAATAATTGAAAAAAAAAAAACAACCAAAACCCCACCATGTCAACAGCATTACCAGAGGGAAGACAATTTTGTCTGTTGTGTTGCTGTGTACTTTGTGTAATGTATTTCTTTGTTTCCTTTCTGAAAGTAGAGGTGGTTCTGGGTTGTGTGAACAACACAGACAGATTGGAACTGGGAAAATGTGGCTGTAAACCATGCAGATCTGTCTAGGGTGGACAATAATGGGTATTTCTACAATTAGTCTTGAAAAAAATACTAGGTTTTGAGCTGATAGTACTTTTCAAAAAGTGTCTTAACTGAGGGAGGTTTCGTGTATCTGTTCTGTAATATGAATGTGTTCTTTAAAGCCTACTACAGCTCAAGAATGTACATTTTTTTGGTTGATATTTCTGTATTTACATCAAGGTCTAAAAGAGTCTGACAATAGTTTATGGAAACAAAGCATTTGCTAGTTTTCAGCTGCTGTGTATTGTAGGGTTAAGCATCTCTGTTAAACTTCATTTCCTTTTTGTTTGATGCTAAAAGTAGCAACCGTAATAACCCTTGGGTTTAGTTTGTCTTTCTATTTTAAGATCATATTCAAAATAAATATGAGTACATGCAAGAACAGCAAACTTAATGGAAATGAGTACATGTGTTTTCCTTGACACCTGCTTTTCCACTCTCCAGGCCAAACTTGGGAGTTCGTCTTGTTCTAAGGAAGAATCAGGTTTCAGGCTGATCAGAAAGTACATAAAAATGTTCAAAACAAGCAGTTTAGCTTTTCAGAGGTGGTCAGGTGTTTTTGTTAGATGGAGTGATTTTGTAGTTCATGATTGTGAGCACTGTGTTTTTAATTTTGTGGCACACCCATGTGGCCAAACAAAGGCACATCACTCCAGGTTGGCAAGGAGTTACCTGCAGCGAAACTGCCAACTCCCAGAGGTTTTATGCTTTGAATATAGTTGCCAGTAAACAAAAACTTAATGGTTAAGCAAGTAGTATTCTGCCAAGCTCCAAAGCACAGAGTTTTAAAGAAATGTGGTTTCGTGTTTGGAACAGAAATCTGCAAGTCGGACAATCTGGATTCTATTTGCAGTTCTGCCGCAGCCTTGCTCCGTGCCTGTAGCCAGATATCTTGAGATGTGGATTTCAGAGGTGCACTGAGAGTTCAGACAGCCTGCCCTCTCACTTGGAGTTGGTCTTTAAAACAAGCCTAAAAGCTTCTACTTTTGCAAAGTTGGAGTTTTGAGCTATAACTTATTGTGACCCTTTCAGAGTTTAGTGCTAAGGAATAGCACATCCAATTGACTTAGAGCTATAAATAACAAATGTGCATTTTGATTCTTTTATAGGAAGCGTGACTATGAAGGGTTTCTGTGTTCTCTGCTGTTGCCTGTGGAATCTCGAACCTCTGCTTTTGCCTTGAGAGCCTTTAATGTGGAACTGGCTCAGGCAGGTATTAAAATACATTTGTGAACTCTGGAAATTTAAAATAACAATTTTGATATTCTAAATTACACTTCTAAGTACTCTTTCTGTAGTCGGTGGTGTTTTGCCAGGTTTTAACTTTTATACAGTCAAGGCTATGAATTAATAAAACCTCCAGTTTTGAATGGCCCATGGAAATTACCCAGCCTGCTCTATTATTTTGTTTATGGGTATAATTTTTATTACTTTTTTTTAAATGCATTTTAAAATTGAGTTATAGCAAACAGACAGTGGTTCTTGATACTGTTGTGTGATTGCATCTAAATCCTGGCTTCACATACAGTTAATGGGTAAAGTGCAGCTAAATCCTAACTGTAGAAGGTTGGTCAAAAAATGGGATGCTATAATCAGGACCAAGTCTTTGTTGATGGAAGCGAGGTGATGAAAAGGATGCAGGAGGGAAGTTTGTTATTAGAGAGTTGTGGTAGAGGAGCGTCTGCAGTCTCTCAGATTTGCGAGATGGCCAGAAACTGTCAGTGCAACCAGGAAAGTTGGCAGTGCTTGCCAGAAAGGACTGATCCAGAAAATAAGCTGACCAGGCAAAACTCCTACCAGCTTCTGTACGCTGTACTTCTGGCAACCCGTGGCGTGCCCTCCCTCGCTGCTGTCACCACTGCTTTTATTCTGAGAAAGCTAAAGTGAGGGTTGCCCAGTACTTAATCTCTGTGGGTTTTTAAATCAGGTTGTGGTGAAGATTTTGCATTTACTCTATGTAGTGTTCCTAAGCTTTATGAGGAATAAATGTCAATTCAGAACTGAGTTCTTTCTCTGCCGAATTTGACTGTGTACGGTGTCTATCTTTTCAGCATAGATAGACTAAGTGTCCTAAAGACACTGAATTTCACTCCAGATGTATTCTTTCCAGATTAAAGACTCCATAACTCAGAAAACGACAGGTTTGATGCGGATGCAGTTCTGGAGAGATGCTGTGGAGGACATATACAGCGATAACCCACCACATCAGCCTGTTGCTACAGAACTGTGGAGGGTAAAATACACCTTTCTTGACCTAAAATTGGCTTTATATTACTGTGGGAAGTAATGTCAGTGTTTTGTGTGTGCCGTGCTGTATCCATTCTAACCAACAACACTTTTTCCAGAACACAGTGTCATAAAAGTGCTGTGAAGAAAATTAACTCTATCCCAGCCAAAACCAGTAGCGTATTCAAATAGAAGTCATTCTGATTCTGGGATACCAATTGCAACCCTCTCCAGTAGCTAAGACTGACAGATGTACTCCTTTCTGACAGAACAGAAAATTGATTTTGAAGTGGAGGAAGAATGGTTTTTGGTGAGATTTCACCGCAGGCATGATTTCTATAAAGGAAGTCCAATATAATACCATCCAGACAAAACTGCTTGCAAAATAAGATGATGAAAAATAATTCAGAAAGTATTTTTGGGAGTTCTGATAGCTCTGAGAACTGTAGAGCACTGGAGTGAACTAGCAGTTCAATTTGACTTGGTGACTTTTGCAGTCAAGATGGGATTTTATTTCCATATTTCAGCAACTACCCCAAGAGTGACCTATTTGAAGCCCATGACTTCACAAATGTCCAAGAATGTCATTGCAATTCTTAGAAAAAAGGATTTGGAAAGACACCTGAACTCACAAGCATTGCGGAACTGTTAATAGAATTAATGTGTCTTTGCACAGCATATTATATGTATATTCCTTTGTTGCTGTTGAGTTTATATGAGGACGGTGTGGTTTTCCAGAATAAATTTAAGTTACGATATTTAAATGTGTTCCTGAAGTTTTGTATATCCCACAATACTTGCATTTGGGTTCCAAATTTTTATGCACTAGTAAAGTAGATAAATAGCCTTTAATACTATTTCTAAAATTATTAATAGCTCAGCTTTTGGTGACTTTAATATAAACTTACACAGCAACTGTATTATGCGTGATCTTTACTGTTTATTTCGAATGTATGAAAAGTGAGACCTAATTCTCTGTTCATTTCTGTGGAAGAAGCCTATTTTTTCAAACTTCAGAGAAATGAGGATCCACGTGTTTGAATGGATGTAACATACAAATTGTGTAATTTAGCATAGTTGAGTTTGGTCCTTTAAGTCTTGTCCTGTTAGTATTTCAAGGTGTTCATTTAAAAAATGATACTGGAGATGAGCAAGTGAGACTAAAAACTGACATTTGTAGTTATAACTTAAAATTTGCCTTTTCATATACTGAGTACTGACTCAAGCAGAATTTATAGAATCAACAAGATCTGGTCTTGTCAAATCTTGAAAAAATATTTACTAATATGATGGATGTGAAGAAGAAGTTGAAAGTGAGCAATAAGGACTAAATTGTGAGAAATCAGCTCCGTAAGTTTTGTTTATAGATGTTTTTACATGTGATTTTAGTTTTTCTGAAAACGTGTTCTGCAAAATTCAAAGTGTGAAATTAAGAGGATTGAAGGTAAGATGATAGAATGAAGTGGCACAGGAAGGAAGTCAAATATAAGACAAGAACCAAAAGAAGAATGTGTGAATATGAGATGCTGTGTGATATTTTTTTGAACAAACCTGTAATATTAATTGTACTGCATTGTTAGCATTCTGTCTTTACAGTATGTATTGGTATGTTATACTGACATTTTTTTGAGAATTTACAGAGGACATATTTTTATTGCTAGACTCTGGAGGAAACTCTGTTCTTTTTGGAAAGTGAACATAGTTATCTGCAAATATTTTGTGGGAACATATGACTCCAAGAATAAATTAATTTCATAAACCTTTTTAAAGAAATGCTTTTAGTTTGCTGGCGTGATGTCTGGTATTTAATTTTCTGTATGCAGCAGCTTGCAGTAAATGCCAGTTGAAATTTTTTTTATTTGAAAAAGAGTCTCATTTTCCACTGACTTGCCACTTGGTTTAACCCAGTGAATACAATTCTTGTATTAAATACCTAAAATGTATTTCAGCCTTCAGAATGCAGTACTACCATCACTTTATATACATTAACGTGGAGGTTTCATTTGATAATTTTCAGGCTGTCAAGAGGCATAACTTGACTAAAAGGTGGTTCATGAAGATCATAGATGAAAGAGTAAGTATTTACCCTTCAGAGTCTGATTCTGGCTTTAGTCATATTTGGATTTTCTTTTCCTTATTTTTATAGGTTTGCATGTAAAACAAAAGCTTATGTAATTTTTCAGACAGTAGTATTTCTCTTGAAAAATGATACTGCTACATTTTTTAAAAATTCTTCCTTGATGCTACTCTTCATAGTTTTAGTTCTTTCTGCCAAAATGGCTAATAGAATCCTTTGTTTATTTTTGTCTTAAATTGATGTAGTTTGTTAGTTCATGTGGATATAAAATCTTAAAAATTAAAGTACCTATCTGAACCCTTCTGCTACACTTTCATGCTACTCCTTATCATAGCTGTGGAGTTTTTTATAAGCAGTGGTGTAAACTGGAGCAATTAAGTCACATGAAGTTTAAAGTAGTCACCTTTTTTCCTGGGAAAAAACAAGGTTAAGAACATCACTGGTATAGTAACATTGCTACAAACTCTGACACAAGGACAAAAATGAAAAGCAGAGTGCAGGAGTCTCATAAGCTAATTTTGCTGCTAAAGTAAGTGTGTCGTGAAGCTATAAATTGAGCAAATTGATGGTCAGTTACTTGAAGAGGATCATTACTATGAAAGACTTCAGACTTGCTTAATGTTGACTTTTTTAGTCTTTAAGAGCGGCATGTTTCAACAGAAACTGCTAGGACAGGAGGAATGCTGGAGGATGTTATAGTTTTGGGTGTATTATTTATTAGCACCACTAAGTTGTTCAGAGGGCTGGAACACCTCTCCTGTGAAGAGAGGTTGAGAGATTTGGGGAAGAGAAGGCTCTGGGGAGACCTTAGAGCACCTTCCAGTACCTAGAAGGGGCTTACAAGAGCTGGAGAGGTACTTTTGATAAAGGTATGTAGTGATAGGACAAGGGACAATGGCCTTGGGATGAAAAAGGGTAGGTTTAGATTAGATCTGAGAAAGAAATTGTTTACTGTGGGGATGGACAACAAAGAAGTTGTGGGCTCTCTATGAGGTGTTCAGAGGTTGGGTGGGCCTCTGAGCAACCTGGTCTGGTAGAAGGTTTCCATGTCCATGGCAGAGAACTTGGAGCTAGATGATCTTTAAAGTCCCTTCCAACCCAAACCACTCTATGATTCTGTGAATCTACAGTTTTTCACATGACTTTAACACTTCTGTGCATTCATAGATTTATATTTTTAAAAAATACATTCCTATTTATCTAAATTTCTGTCTGCTTCACATGCAAATTAAATATTAAAATTGACAGCCCTATAATGTAAGAATACCATATAATGTTTTGGTTTTGCTGTTTCTTTTTTTATAGAGAACTCTAATTTCATATTATTGCAGAAAGTTGTATTTGCTCCTTGGCTGCAGTTGAGCATAGTTATTTGTTAGACTTGCTGTACGCTTTAATGACTGCTTCTATCCTCGTTTATACTCTCTCTCTCTCTGTCTCAATTTTGTCCTTTTTTGTTTTTGGTAGTGCACTGGATTGACATGACTGTAGTAATAAGCCTGTACGAACAGCAGTTATGTTTGTGTTCTACTGAAGCTCCATCTTTGTATTCCAGGAGAAGAATTTGGATGATAGAGCGTACCGTAACATCCAGGAGCTCGAAACATACGCTGAGAACACTCAGAGTGCTCTCTTGTACCTCACCTTGGAAACGCTGGGTAGGTGTTTCCCCTCTTTCTAGGTTTTGCTGAAGCCTCATTAGTGCAAGTACAATATTTATTGGTATTTCAAAAAGCCCTTTCTTTTCCCACTGGAGTTTAATTTCAGTAAAAGTTGTCCTAGGTGGAACTTCAGGTATCTTTTGAATGCTGAACCATAAATGTGGAATTGTACTGCATCTCTCTCTGTGCTTTCCTTGGAAGCTGCTCAGTGCAGAGCTTACTGAAGTGCAGTTCCTGCTATTCTTTGTTGCTTTGTTTTCTCTCTTCTTGCTCCTCTTACAGAATGTGGAAGATTCAGCTCTTCACTGTGTTTCGATTGTCCTACTTCTCAGAATACAAAATGCTGTAGATATCCTGCAGCTGTTGTTCTGTATTGCAGTGATGGACAGTGATTATCTTGAAACAGCCAGCTTCCCAACCTATAAACTTCTGTTGGTGGTGTTGTAAATTTGGGTCTGAATCCTAGAAGTAGGTTAACTATCAGTAATTGAAGAACTAGGACAAACTGCAACAAAGATGATCCCTGTGATCAAGAGCTACTGTCTGTGTCATGTCTAATGTAAGAACCACAGACTGGGAAAGAACTGTGTCACTGTTGAGGCAGGACAGGAAAGAAACTCCAGAGGGCTAGATGATGTGAACACTAACTACTTTATTCCAAATACATCGCTCTTTTATAGAGAGCATCATGCAGACTGATTTCATTGTTCTTAAAAATATCTCACACAATTGGTGTGCCGTGAATGACGCACGGTGGCAGAATATATTTATAAACAATGTGAACAACAAAAGAGAGAATTATTTACATTCCTTTGCAACTCTTTCCCAGGTTCTAGGCTGGTTAGAAACTCTCCTTTCTCTCTGGCTGAACTGAGAATACCCATAGAACTGTTCATTTGTAGTGAAGAAAAGGGTAATTTTCATATAGGTGTCTGTTGCATTATGGAAGTATTCCTAATATGAGCTCTGATTGAAAAAAAGGGTGAAAAATATTATTATTTAGTGTTTAGTATTGTAGTAGCAATACGTTCCTCTTGCTTATCAGACTAATCTGATCAAAGGCAAATACTGATGTTAAAAGTTAAAAATAGAAAAAAGAGAAGTAAAAAGAGAGAGATGGTGAGTAATTCTTTGGAAGAATTTAGGAACTTATTTCTTTATATCTGACGTTTGCTTCCTCAGTAGGAAATCAGTGAAATGTTGCAAATGTCTTTCTGAACCTCTTACTGAAGAAATGTAGGAGTATGAGAAATGTCAGTGTCTTCCATTCTGAGAAATCCTGAATAAGTTCAGTCATGCTTGGATCACTCACTCCTTGTACAAATCAGATAAAACTGTCTTTGAAAATCTGTATGGAGACTCTGGATATTCTAAGTGTTCTATTGTCATATTTAACTTCTCTTAAAAATACAGATGTAACAAAATACCTAAGCAAAAGTATCCTTCACTGCATATTAAACAGTTAACTTTTGTTATTTATTTTTCCTCACAAATTGAGAAACAAATCAAATACAGCCCCTTTCTTGGTGTTGCCCATCAGCAGTGTTTTCCATATTAGGTGGACCTGTTTGCTAAATTTCTTGTGCTTTTTAGACTCTTATTCCTGACCAGTCTCCTGCTGTATCTCTCCCAGTGTGTACTCTCCCGGTACTAGCGCTGTTTTATTCTTGCTGATTTCAGCTTATTTCTTTTGTCAAGCTCATTTTGGCTGGTAATACTGTTGTCTAAAGTCCTGATACTTCCTCTCAACTCCTGTAATTTAAAAATACTAATATTTGTGCTCTCTAACTAATTACCTAAGTAGTTAGTAAATAATGTCCATTGATTCCTCCAAGCCACACTTAGCTTTCTGCTGCCATTGCCAAAATCAGTCCCTGCAGTGTGGATATAGTCACTCTTTCACAGAGGATTTCGAGACCCAGTGAAGACCCAGACAGGCTTCTGCAGTGAATCTGGTACCCCCAGTGTTACTTCCAGATGTCAGTTAGGCTCACTGATCTGTAATTGCTGTATCCTCATTTTTTTGTCTTTGTAGAATGATGCTTCTTTTAAGAGTTTTTATAAATTTCAATTTAAATTGTCATCCCCATTCAGCTTTATAATCAGCCCAAGCCAAGCTTGTATGGTCTTTCCACGAAGAGCAATGGTGCTACTCTGGCCCACTCATCTCCCTCTTTCAGTTCTCACAGTTATATGACTGTGCAGTAACTAACATTAGTTTTCTGTTGTTTTGGTGATCTGATTCATTTTGCCTCATTGCTCCTGACAGCACAAGGGAGGGGGCAGAAATATGGGCTTGGGGGGTGAAGCATAGGAGCATTCTCTTTGACTTCACTACACTGATGAATCAGCTGCAGCTAATCATGAAACCACACTGTAAGCATTAATGCTTGCCAGGAATCTCACACTTTTTCTGGCAGGAAAAGCAGTTCTTGAAATTCTGTTATCCTGGGAGAGGATATGCTACTGAAAGTAAGTTTGTGTACCAGTGTGTTATATCTGAATAGGTGCTGCTCTGCTAAGAGCATTTGCAGATACTGCAACAAGAGGCATCTTGCTCCTGGATGTGGAAATGAATGAATTTTCCTGCTGTTTTGCACCTCTGAGATGAGATCTCAAGGTAGTTTATGCACATGGAAAGTTCTATCATGGACCAATGCACATAGCTTTCCTAAAGTATGACTGAGCTAGGCATCAGAAAAGACTATACCTCTCAAAAGGCCTGACTGCGTGTTTCTAAACATTGTTTCTGTAATTTTAGGTGTGAGGGACATCCATGCTGACCATGCAGCCAGTCACATTGGGAAAGCACAAGGCATAGTTACCTGTTTAAGAGCAACTCCGTATCACTGTACAAGACAGAAGGTCTTTCTTCCCATGGACATTTGTATGTTGGTAAGAGAAGAAATAGTCTGAAATTGAACACTGTAGTTTTTCTAACTCTGTTTCTCAAGGCTAGGTATGAGATCCTAATTTATTATGCCAGAAATAAATGGTATGTTTTTTCTTTGTTTTTACTCATTCTGCTGTGCCCTGCTAATTATCATGGTTTTATATCTTTTGGGAAGTGAGAGGAGTGATCTTCAAGAAACTTCAAGAAACTCTAGATTTCCCTTTAAGGTTCTTTTGTTATTATTAATTGTATTAATATTTTAGGTTTCAGGAATTTTTCCAATAATGTATAAAAATGCACGTACAGAATGGGTCCTGGGGGTTTGTGTTTTGGGGTTGGGTATGGGTTTCTTCCTTCTTTTTTCTTTTCCTATCACCATAAAGGAAGCACTGTGGGAAATTTTACTTTGAACAATCTTCTTGTGCTTCTCTTTATTACCTTTTCATAATGTGCTGGTGGTTTGTGGTTTTTTTTTCTGTTCCATATTTTACAGTTATAGGCCTATATTCCATACATTTCTGTAGGAGACGGTATAGCCCTCCAATTTAAAGTGTACATCAAATTTGCACTGCAATTTAGCAGATCTTTCAGTTTAGGTAAAATGGGATTAAAGCTCAGAATTTTTCATTAATGTTTCATGGGTTAATCTGTAGGCATCTCAGCTGTTAGTCCTTCATTTCCAGTCTTTATTTTTAAATGTTAATGCTGTTCTTTTTCAACTTAACCAAAATGTATGCAATTATGGTGATGCCTAAGGTGGTTGTGTTAATATTTTCTGTGTAAAATTTCAGTACAGTTACAAGTTTGGATTGGAAGTTTAGTAATGTAGGTAACTGCAAAAAATGTATATATTTATATAGGTCAGGGTTATAAGACTGCAGAAAGGAATTGCACTCTCCTTTCAGCCCTTCTGGGACTGCATGTTATGGGAGGCCTTCCAAGTTTTCAGCTTTTCAAATATAGCCTGAAAATTCAGTCATTCCTTGCCATGGAAAGGCACTTCCCCTTGCTACTGTTTCTGCAGTGAAACTATAAAAACAGCTTGTATCCCTTCTGTGCAGTCTCGTAAGCATTTTAGCTGCTGGCAAGAAGTGTTGAGTTCTCCTGAGTCTGTACCTCCTGTGAGGCCTTTCTGCCCACCTTCATACAGCTCTCACATGCCTGAGTATTGTTGAGAGGAGTGGGCAACTGGTGCAATTCTGAATATGCCATATTTTGTCTTAATATGGTCACTGTAGTCAAATAATAACTTTGGAGTTGGCTTTTTGGGGTTTGGAAGGGCTCTTTTCTGGTGGTTCTGGGGTTGATTGTTTGGTTTTTGGAGATGGCTTTGTTTGATGGTTTGTTGGTTGGTTTGTTGTTGGTTGATTTTTTTGTGAGCCTGAGATGTGCACACCAATCCCAAGATTCAAAAGTCAGTATGGCTTCTATGGTAGCTGTTACTGGCTTTCTTGTGCTTAATATTGATTCTTGAATTATGGTTTTAAAAATTGTCCATCTAAACAGATCTAAATCCCCCAAACTTTGAAATCTGACTTTGTTATCTTACTGACCACAAAATTTTAGGAAATGAACTTGTGCAGATAGTCTGTACCATCTGTTCTCTTTGTTCTCTTGATTTTTTTTTCAAAGTGTCTGACCAAAAGGGAATTAAAAAATAAGAGAGCAGTGGTAGAACACTTAGGCTGTTTTAGTCTTTAGCCCTTAGCTTTATTGCTGGGACATGTTTTTGAGAAGCAAATGTGGAAACTTGATATTTTTAGAGGATTTTTTTCTCTTTTTTGATTTTGGTTTTCCTTCCTATGTCTAGCATGGAGTTTCACAGGAGGATTTCATAAGAGGCAAGCAAGAGAAAAATGTGAGAGATGTAATTTATGACATCGCCAGTCAGGCCCATATTCATCTAGAACATGTAAGATTCCTTTCCTTTTATTTATCTAAATAAACATAACTTCACACAGCATTTGTTGTTAGAAGACTTAAAGCTGCATACTTAATTTCAAATATTTTGCCTTTTATTATTTTGAGAATTTACATTAAAAAAAAATCCCACTGCACTAAAGATTCAACTATTACAACTACTTCTGTATTATTATTATCTTAATGTACAGGAGACAGTTTACTCACAGCCAGGTCCAATTTAATATATATATAAATGCTGCCTAAAATAATTATTACTGGAAGAGAAACTTCGAGTAGACTTTTATAAATGCAGCTATGTGCCAGCATGGGATGAGCACCATAGAAAGAACACTGCATATGGTATTTCACAGCAATGTGGAATGGCTGTCAGGAAAACAGAGCATGTTGCCTTTAACTGCTGGTTCGTGTGTGGGAGGGGGGAGTCATTCCTTGACATGACCAGCCATGCCCAAAGCTATGTTGAGAAAGGTGCTTTCTGTTTATTTCTTTCCTGGCATGCAGCCAAGTCAATTAGGAAAGTCTGTTTGGTTGGAACAGTGGACGATGAGCCCTGAAGAACTGCAGAGTCCTACTCTATTTTTTTCTTTCATGCTTTTATTCTAGCTGCATTATGAAATTCTTGCCTAGTGCACAGTACAAAAGCAGAAGAATGTTTTATTGGCAAGGCTTTGTCTTCCTCTAGCTGGAAAACAAAGCACTACAAAGCATTTCCTATGTCTACAAGTACATTTACACTTTGATTATAGCGCCCAGTGGTTCCAGTCAAGGTGGTCTGGAAAGATTGCACTTCAGAGTAAATAAATGCCAGATTTATCTCTGCATTTGCACTATTAATATCATCCTCAATTACAGCATTACCTGTAGGAGAGCCCTTCATCTTTTTTCTGGAAGTCAAATGTGGCATCCCTGGTTTGTTCAGTCAGTGCCTACTGAGCTGGTTAATGTTTTGTTTTATGTTAATAATGTGTGTATGTTCTAACAGCCCTCCAGTACCTAAAGGGAGCTTACAACAAAGCCAGAGAGGGACTTTTTACAAGGGCATTAAGGATAAGGGGAAATGGCTTTAAACTGAATGACAGAGATTTAGATTAGATGTTAGGAAGAAATTCTTTCCTGTGAGGGCGGTGAGACACTGGCACAGGTTGCCCAGAGAAGCTGTAGATGCCCTATCCCTGGAAGTGTCCAAGGCCAGGTTGGATGGGGATTTGAGCAGCCTGGTCTAGTGGGAAGCGTCCCTGCCCATGCCAGGAGGGTTGGAACAGATGATCCCTTCCAACCCAAACCATTCTGTGATCCTTTGTACCCTTCGGCTTTATTTTTCATATACTAATTATAATTCACATTTAAGGCATTCCTGTTCATGTTGTTTAACCTGATGTCTCAGTTTTTGTGGTCACATGCCCAAGAAAACTGTTTATTCCATTTAGAAGCAGGGAACAGAGACAAAGTACAACATCAAAACTGTCAATTATCTTTGTTCAAGCTGAAATATTTTTATTTATTTTTTTTTTTAATTCTCCACCCTTCAACCCATAATGTACACTGTATAAAACCCACTGCCTTTTGGCTAAGAAAAATGCCAAGTGCGTGGCCTGAAATGCCTCATATCAGGGATGGGAGGCATGGAAAATGAGTAATGTGTACCATGTTTAAATTTGGTTGCTGGTATTGTATGGAAACTTTGGGATAGAAGCAGGAAGAAAATTTGGTTCTTCAGAACCTTTCAGGTAATTTGATAATTCATAGTGCATTGGTCCCCTGGTTCCCAGCCTGAGCCTACCAACTTCTGAAGAGAACAGGCCTCCTTTCTTCCCACTTCATTCCTAGAGCCCTGCCCAAGTTATGCACTGGGAGGGTCCTGTGGAAAGTATTCAATGTGATGATGTAATTGGAGACTAAAGAGAAAAGTATAAATCCAGATTAGAGCAGCGTTAGCATTTTATTCAACTGAATGTTGATCCTGGCACTCCTCCCATTTTTCTCCCCCCTTTGTATGTTTTTAAACGGGTGGGTTATATCAGCTTATTTAAAATTTAAAAAAATTCCTCTCTGAATACTTGCTTCTAGTCTCCCATCATCAGTGAATTGTTGACAGTGCAGGAACTGTCGAGTGTTCAAACCACTTGAACTGGCCATAGCTGGCAGCAGTAACAGAGTATTGGCCTCCATAATCAGATGGTGTCTGTTAATGCAAGGGCAAGGGTACTTTCTGCCTAATGGTTGAAATGGGCTTTTGCTGGAAGCATTTGCTGGGTGTTTCAGGACCTTAGGTGAATCTAATGGGCTGGTGCCTTTAAATGCATCTGTTCTGCTGTATAAAATCACCATTTTGTTTTGCCTGAGGGTCTTCACAACCACTTATGCTTTGTTTTAGTTGGGATTATAGGGTAGGGTAAAGTTCAGATCTGCAGAGAGGTTTCAGCTATCTCAGCATTTGTTACACAATGCATTGTTACATGTATTTTAGAGGATGAGGGTAACAATTACCACCCCCATTTCACAGCCAGAAGACGCCTAAATCTGAAATGCTGAATGGAGTCCCAGCTATGCCACATGAAGCATATTGTACTCGTGTGGCCCTTTATCTTGAGAAAAAGGTTTCTGGAGTATGGTCAGGTCTTCCTGACACTGCAGCTGCTGACCAGCAGGTGGCAAAATATGATAATGAAAATTGCAGTTTTCCTTAGGAATTGTGTGCTTCATCAGCATAAAAGCATATAACAAAATGTTCTGTCGGTCCCCAAAAGTGTTCCCTTTGAAAGCCTACAAATACATTTACACATTCTCCCTCTTTTTCTTCATCACCCCTTTTCCTATTCCTCTTGTGAAAAAGGGTCTCCCTTTTGGCTTTTTGCATTTGTCTCCCGTCCTACATCATTATGGGACTCAGTTTATCAAGAGAGATAAAATGCTTTGTGAATGACATGTAACCCATTCTGGGTTGAGAAGGTAAATAAAAACTACTTTATTTTTTCATCTTGCAATTAATAATAGAAGGGCAGAGCATTAGACCAGGGAAGAACATTTTTCTATTTTAGAAATAGATATACACACACAGGTGTTATTATATCTCAACATTTTAAAATAATTTGTCTTCTGAAAAGATTGATAATTTTTTCCTCCTAAAGTTTCAGGCTTATTTTCTCAGTTGTCTGGAAAGGTCTGTGAAAAACTAAACTTTACAAACTCAAACATTCTTATCAGTATTTATAGAGAGTTAGTTTGTTTTAGGCTGTAAGAAAAAGCAACACAAGAAGGGATTTTTTTTAATAGACAGGCGTTACAGGAAGACTTTTTCAAATCTGTTAGATGTACTGACTTGAATATGAGTTTAAACTGCAGATTTGATGCAGCCATGCTTTAGATTTTCATATTTAGATACTGAGCAAGTGAGATAATTTAGATGTCTCAGATATGTAACCAAAGCATTTACAACTAGACTTCTGGGACTGATGGCAACGTTGAACTAAAAAAGATGCACTCAGAAAAACGCATTTCTGGTCTTCCATCATTTCTGTCTATTGGGAAAAAAAAAAAAAAAAGTTAAACTCTATTTACTAAACCAGATGCAACTTGGGACTTTGTTGGAACAAGGCATGCTAATTTACCTTGGTTTATAGTATGCAGTCTTGAGGTCTGTCAAATCATGTAAGTATTTTTGTAAGCCTCTCCCAGTATTACATACTGTTGTGTAACTACTTTTGTACACAGCTTTCATGGAATAAAATGTTACAGTTTCAGGATGTCAAAATAAAAAGGGATAACGCTAGTAATACAGTGTGTTGCCTCTAAGCATTATATATAGTACTTGATGTTTAATCAGAAACGTTAAATTCTTCTGATAAGTACTTTTTTTTGTGTTTTGTTCTTCCCTCCCACCTTACCCCATTTACTTTTAGGCTAGATCTTTCAGTAAGAAAGTTCCTGTGAAGGCGTATCCTGCTTTTTTCTGTACGGTGGGTGTGATATATGCACTCTTTAAGTGATGGACTTATTACTGGGCTTATATATTTGTGAAGAGTATTCAAATTAAGCATGGTGAACAACCACTTCATGTGTCCTATTTTGGGAGGATGCAATTCCTAAAACTCATAGAAATCATGTGTGCCTGACTGTAGAACCTTACAGTTTTGATCAACACTTCTAATCATTCTCTTTTAACTACATCATCCCACCCAAGATGTCTGTTTATTCACAGGCTGCTGTACTAATGCAAGAGCCCCAGATCCTGTCTATTTTCATAATTTGGTGTTTGGTCTACTAAAAGATAATGCTTCTCTTCACAAAACTTGACTTTTTTATATGCTTGGAATGTGATGATTACACTACCATTTAACAGCACAATGAAACTGTCAAGCCTTTTTTGCAGTTTCTCATACTGCTTTTTAAACTCAATTACTTGTGTACACCATGTGTATTAAGCTTTATTCTTCTTTTCTAGGTTGCTTTAGATGATTATTTACATAACATGCGGAAAGTGGATTTCAATATATTTCATCCAAGCTTACAAAAGAAGAGTACATTATTACCATTGTATTTGTATATTAGATCTTGGAAAAAAACATATTAAAGTTTGTTTGGTTATTTTAATTTGGATTCAGAGTGCTGAGTTTTTTTTCTTTAATGTCTTAACTTGCTAGAATTGCGAAGTGTCTGACTTTACACTTCTGCAAAATGCAGTTCCAGGGAAACAGCAGATGCACATGAACTGTAGCTGTCAGCTTGCTGGCAGTAGTGAAGTTTCTTCTTGGAATATTAGGCTGATATCTCTTTTTCACTTGTCTGCCAAGTCATATGTCCTTGTCTGAGATTGCTTTTCTTGTCTTTCCTGTAATAACAGCAGTATGACAGAATTCTTGGACAAACACTGTGCTAATGGACACTTCTGACAGTTCTGATTCTTTGCTGAGAAAAGTAAATCGAAAAGACTGCTTTGTTTGTGCCCAAAAGCAGTTACAGCAAATGCCCCATAAATCAGCTAAGTAGTTCTATTTAGTGCAAGGAGCAGGCTTCCTGCAAGTAGTGGTGATGCTTCAAAGTTGGAAGGATGAGCATGTATATTTGAATGCAAGAAAACTGTCAGGAAAAGCTTTAGCAGAAATTATTTAACTGTGCAGTGAAGTGATTAGAGGTAGTGGGAGGATAGCTTTTCAACCAAGGAAGAGAGCCCATACATTAAAATGTATGGATTAGCATGGATGAAACAAAATACATGTGCCTCTGGTGTTTGCACTCTGCTTTTGGTTTGGCTGTGTCTTCTTCCTGGCCTCGTCTCGACTGCCCCCTTGTTCAGTATTCAGCACATCTTTCAGGACATACTCCTGTGTGGCTTCCCTGAATTCCTTTTCTTTGGTACTGTGAAAACATTCCTGAATGTTTCAGGTAATTTTAGTCCTCTCTCTCTCTAAAGATACTGGTCTGGATTTTTTCATGGGAAATTACTAGTAGCTTTGTACTCAGCATCTCTTAGGATCAAGGTAAGTATATCTATTTGATTTGTTTTATGGTAAAATAATGCTTCCTAACATTCAGCTTGATTCAGTTTCACAAATACAGTAGTTTGTTCTGCCCTCATCCTTGTTCTAGTAAATAGCTGCTTTTCCTAGAGATTTTTTTCCCTTAAATCGGGGCAAATCACCCCAGATGCTTGGCTTTATAACAGCATCCTGTATTTTTGTGTAAATGCTACATAATGAATTTATGTGAACACGATTTGTGGCTTTTTTTATCACAAACTGTCAGCATGGTAGAAATCTTAGGAACCTGACATTAAGTTCTTCATTTGGTGATTTTGCTTAACATGTTTGAAATTGGTTTGTGATACAGAGCTTGGTTAATCTGCAGTTTTTTATTCCTGAGTAAGACATTTCTCTTTGAATTTGTTCAGCTCAGGATCGTGGTTTCTGTATTACTGGAGGTGGAATAATCAAGGTGATACAAACCAAGAAGAATCAGTATGAACTGGGAGCTGTTTTCTTAAGGTAAAAATCTTTACAGGTTCTGTCCACTTTTCAGATCAGCTGCAGTATCATATCACTGGTGTTTCTGAATGTGGCAAAGAGGTCTGGTGAAAAGAAAATGTTTAATTCCTATGCAGGCACTGCAGCTCTTTGTGCCAAATGAAGAGCAAAGGCTTAGGCTCTGTTGCTTCTAACAGGCCAGCTGCACATTCCCTCTGTTTATTTTGTGATCTGGAGCAAGCATTACAAACGCCTCTTTCTGCACTTGGTCATGTTTTGTTCCGAATGTGTTGAGTCAGGACAGTTGAGGCAGACCTGTCTGTCCTCTCAAAGGAATCGCTCTCCTGTAAAGTCTTCTCCCACGCAGCTAGCGACAAGATAAGAGGACACAGCTTCAAGCTTTGCCAGGGGAGGTTTAGGCTGGACATCGGGAGGGATTTCTTCGTGGAAAGCATTGTTAAACATTGGAACAGGCTGCCCAGGGAAGTGGTGGCGTTACTATCCCTGGAAGTGTTCAAGAAATGACTGGATGTGGCACTTAGTGCTATGGTTTAGTTTACAAGGTGGAGATTAGTCAAAGATTTGATTCAATCTCAGAGGTCTTTTCCAACCTAAATGGTTCTGTGATTCTGTAATAGTTCCTTTCTCATCATGGCAGGTAAACAGCAGCCTCCTCTGCCTTGACCGTTCTCCAGCTCTTCAACATAGCAGTTTCCCAAATTTTCCTCTCACCAATATCCTCTGAAGGCAGGTCCTTCTCTGACCTTCTCCAATCCATGCAAAGCTGTAGTTAGGCCTGTTCTTGACCCTTTCCCCAGCTGTAGCCTAGGATGGCAGCTTCTTTCCTACAGGGGACTGGGGTAACCTTGTAACACTGCAACTCTATGTTGGCACAATTCTAACACTGGATTTGAAAGAATTTGATAAAAGCAAGTATTAGTATTTTGCCCAGGATGAACTTCAGGTCACTAAACTTCAGGTTTGAAGTCATCACTACTGAAATCAGTCCTTTTCTGGTTCCTATATGTAAAAACGTGCAAACAGCAAACCAAAACAACCACACCCCAATCCATCATAAAAACTGCTAAGACATTAATAACCAACGTTATTAGGAGGTTGTCAGTGGGCTATTTTAAATTGTAAAGAGCCCTTTTACATTAAAAATTAGGAAGAGAAACTAGTCTCCTAAAATTTAGTTCACTAAAAGCAAGAGGAACTGTCTATACCAGCTGTGGAAACGAGTCATAGTCCATTACAGGTTGAATTATTTCACAAGCTAAATATCCCTCCCATAATTGTTTGAATAGGCATCAGTTAACAAGCAAGTGAACTTGCAACTGTACAAATATCAAGAAAACATCCCACTTTAGTATTAACAAAATTTAAATCAGAGTTACTCTAAGCTCAGGGTAATTTAAAAATGCTCTTGATGTGTAAATTTTCTTTGCTTTCCTGTCACATACTCGTGAGTCTCCTTCCACCTTCCTATCTTGCATGAGCCATAGGGCGTATCTGCAAATCTGCAGTGACACAAATGTCTTAAGTCAGTATTTCTTTTTATTTGGAATACAGTATCAGTGAAGTATCCCATACCTGGAATAGGTATCTCTCTGAAAAAACAGAGAGAACTGTTACCATTTTTCACTAGGAAATGTGACTTACTTTCTGGCTTAAGTCACAGCTCCATAAAAATGAGAAGCTTGGATATAAAAAAAACATGCACTAGGGAAAAATTTCACTTTGCCATTACAGCATTGTATGGTAGAACTCCCAAGTAATTTAGGTTAGGAAAAATGTTTTGCATTGCAAACTTCAGGACATAATTATTCTATTTCACATGTGACTCTGGGTCCACACTGCTTGAAGTACAACTTTTTTACCATACACTGTTCATTACTGGGGAGCTACTCCTAGAAGAAATGAAAGCCAAGAGATTATTTTTCAATTAGGTACTGTTTGAAAACCAAACTACAGAATAAAAAAAGCCAGCAGCTGCTGAAAAACACAAGTTTGGCCGACATAACTAGAGGGGCAGCAGCATTATGCAAGAAACTGCTGATTTGGGAGAGACACAACAGAAGAAAGAATGGATTCAAGAAAGCAAAAACCTAATAAATACTGTAACTTTCCTTGGGAAGACAAAAGGAGCTAAAGGTCTGGTTTGACTTTCACTTGCTATTTCAACCTGCATCTTCAGAAGTTTGAGCTCTTTGGCAATCCAACATTTCCCTTTCCTTGCTTAGGTGTGACTGTTTAGGAGATGTGATACTCTTATTTCTGGAAGGAGACCTAGCCAGAAGAATAACTTTCTTTCTTTTTTTGACCCATTTTTCAGTTGTCTTTGACATTTTAATGTTCTTTTACATGAATATAGTGGGAGGATGCAAACTGAATTTTCCTGGGAAAAGAAGGACGAACACAGTTATCTGAACCATTTATATTGAGCTAAGAAGAAAATTCTGACTTGTTGAGGCAAGTTTATTCTGTAATTCTTCTGACTCAGCTAACAGCAGGTAATGAACCACTTCTACACAAAGAAGTAGCTCTCAGGAAAAAAAAACCCCAAAAAACAACAAACCAGCTTTCACAGCTAAAGCTCCCTTCCCATACTATTTTCTTGTGGACAATTTGAGCTTAATAACCTTTGAAAAAATCATTGCAGCAAAGCCTTTCATAGAAACTTAGTGTTTCATGGGCAAAACAAAAAAAACCTTAATTTCAAAATTAGTTCAGTGACCAGCCTCCAAAAGCCCATCTGTAACGTGATGAGAAAAAAGCAGAGGTACTTAATGCCACAGTCTTTAACAGTAAGACCAGCAGCCCTTAGGGTGTCCAGGCTACTGAGTTGGAAGAAGGGAACTATGTTCTTCCTTCTTTTCCAAGGAATTTTCCCCCTGGCAACAAAGTGTTTCACTGGATGCTGTCTAAGATTGATGAGAAAAAAGTGTTTATTACAGGTACTGTAAAATAGAGTGTTGCTGCCTCACACAGGTGTTTTAGGAATTGTTGAGCATCATCACTCTCTGTAACTTCCCTTCATGCCTGAGGGTCCCAGGTCAGATTTGACACCTGAGGTGCAGAGAAACTTGAGATGAGATGTGCAAGAAGTGGAGGGGTTGGTGATTAAACTGTTTTACATGCATTTGAGCATGCACTGCAGTTAGCTTTTATTTCTCACAGGCAGTTGCCATCCATTTGCGTTCATAATATGCTACAGTACTGCCTGTTGCTGCAGAAAATAGTCTTGTAGAATTGCTTCCATGGATGATTCTATCATGGGAGTGGGCACCTAACTTTGGTATCAGCAAAGTAAGGTATACCTAAGGGAAAAGAGGGGGAAAATTTAATAGTATCATTAAGTTGTGAATGTGACTGTTATCTGGGCTTCCAGATGAGAACTAGACTTGGTCATACTTGCTGGAGTCATGGCCTTCCCTTTTCCTGGGATAAAAACCTCATTAAACTGTATGAAATAATAAGAAAACCTTTGAAAGCAATTTTTCTGTTCCTTTTCATGTCACCCTTATCAAAGCACAGACATCTCTTCTGCCTTTTTTCCTCTGTCATTTATTTACTTTCTTTTCCTCAGCCTCTGACTGGTGTCTCTCACCTTTGAAGACTCATTCAGGGCCAGTGTTAACCTGGACCTGCAGTCTTTCAGTTTAAATCTGCACTTCTGGCACAGTAACATAAAATACTCATACTGTTTCACTCTAGAGAAAAAAAAAACACGTCCATCCTCTATCTTCCTTTTGCCCCCCAGTGATTTTGCTCATGTTTTCCAGGTGCTTCTTTCCAGTGAACTCACCAACTGCCCCATGTCAGACACTCATCTCCTCCCGTACTGTAATGATACTCTTCTTACTAAATGCCTTTCAGGAAATGGTGTTGATATGTGACAAGATGTGACAGTTGAGTCAGGCTCTTGGCACTTGTCTGGCTCTCTGCTATCAGCAGACCATGCAAAATCATGGTGAAGGATGGGACAAAGTAATAATGAAAAAATCCACTTAATTTGGTTTATTTTTCTGCACTTGGCTACGGCATAATGGAAACACAGTGACAGTTCTGTTCAATTGAAGTTCAGAATCTCACATATATTGTAGAAATAAAGTAATTGGAAATAATTGACACCAAACCTGCAGAACAGTGTATCTTTTTGGATTTGTTGAACAGGAATTTTAGGGTTTTTTGGTGGTTTGTCTTTGCAGACAGAGTAGCTTGACTTGTTCCTGAAAGGATTTTTGGCCTCTGATCATAAATTGAATTGATATAACTTCTTGCAGTAATAGCAAACAAATCAAACACTCCTATTAGAAAGCCAGTGTAATTCAGAGGAAAACAAAACATCAGAAAAATAAAACAAAAAACCAAAACAAATGCACATTTAAGTCACAAGCCCTTGCTTTTGGCATGCTGTGGTCTTTTCAAAGTTTTCAAATGGCTGCATGCAAAGAAAGGTTTGAGTTATTTATGCTTTCTTTACTCACCTGAACTGCTAACTTTGTCCTTTCTTTCACGTTAACTGCTTTTTTATTACTTAGAAGCACAGAAAATTGTCTGTTTGGTTTTTGTGTTTAGTTTTAGCTAATTCTGTATGCTTTGTATTGTTTTACCTTGTAGGGTTTACCTACTAGGCAAAAATCACAAGAGTAGTAAAAATCCCATGTTTGTTTCACAGTATTTTCTTCATGGAAATATTCTTTGTGATGCTCTTTGCTTTTTTATTCTTATTATTTTTTACTAAAAGCTAGTTGTTTAATGACTAGATGTGGTGCACTTACATGAAACTAGTCTATATAAATGGTGATACTTAGAGACTAATGCATGTGCTGTGACGTCTTGAGAATATTACATGCTGCAAGAATGGTGTTCCGTGCGTGTGAGACAGTGCACACATGTGGCCAGAAAAATGGGTCAGTGCTTGTCTCCTGGACACCTTTGTATGACTGCAGTTGTCTGGAAGAATTGATAATTAAAACCCATCCCATGTCCTTTGAGCTGCATGAAGTATTAAACACCAGTTGAAGAGATTTCCTCTCAAAATATGTATTTTCCTCACTTTCTCCCAAATCAGGGAAAAGGAATTTAGCAGAATTTACTTAGAAGTTACTTACAGATTGGCTATATGGTAATTTAAACATTATTAATGTTTAAATTAATAAAATAAGAAGTTCACAGTTTTACCGTGAAGTTTTTGTTTGGAGTGATGGTCTTTGTTTCCAATCTTTAGATGTATCAAATATGTTAGCTGAAAAGTTCCTTTACATTTTCTGCTGAGGTCAGATCCAGGCCCCTTCAGTTGCTGGTCCCTGCTGAGCCTGCTGTCAGACTTGAAGTTACCAACACAGAAAAAGGACATATTTTTCTCATGGTTCTGAGTCCTGATGGGTTTTATCCCCAAAAAATATGTAGACGACATTGAGAGAGATCATGAATTCCTAGAGCCTTTGAAGCATAGGAGCCAGCCGTACCTGTAACCTCTATGATAATAACACTTTTCCAGGACTGTAAACTAAATGCAAGTAACATGAATAATAAATTCATTTTTAAATGTCTGCCGTTTTAGCAAGTAATAAATACATCCCATCTCCCACCCTCTCACAGTAGTCTCCTCTTGATGGACAATTTTATACCATTTACTGGCTTGAATTCCTGACTTCTCTTCTAGCCAGTAACTTCACACAGAGAGAAGTTAGTGGCTGAGGTAATGTATTTCATAGAAAATATGAACCCATTGAACTTGGACCATTTATTTAAGCAAAGGTGTTCTGAAGGCAGGGGAGGGTTAGAAATCCGAAAAGCCTCCATTTATGTGGGAGTAGATGAGAAGGTGTTTGAGCTGCAGAGGTGAGGCAAAGATTACACTGTCAGTGGTCCCTGTATGATTTTCCAAGGATCCTCAACCGACAGCCTGGTGAAGTGTTGTGAGCACGCAATATTGTCCTGCAATTGAACCTGCAAGTTCAAGCCAACAACAGTAACAGCAAGGAAAGTTAATTTATAGCTGTCAAAAAATTATTTTTTCTAATCTGACCTATTTTCTTACATCTAGTGACCATGAAAAAAAATTGTTGCCTCCTCCTTCTTCTGGTGGTGTGGCTACAGAGAGAGATTTAGGGTTCTAAAATGTCAGTGTTCCGTTTAATTTGGAGTGCTTTGAAATGTGGTTTATTCTTTAACCTGGAGATTGGTGGCTCTTCACTGTTCTAGAGAGTGGAAAAGAGACTGGTTGAAACATCAGATCCAGCCAGCTCAACATTTTCAAGGTAACACCAGTGAACTCCCCAAACCAGACAGTATTGTTGTGCACCAGAAACTTCTGGCACTGTTGAACATTTCTGGCACTATTGAACTTCATGCTCTCAATTCCAGATCATGTTCACCCATGTTCACTTCCTTAGTTTGGCTAAAAACTAATTTATCAACAATGATTCTAATTATTGACAGGTAATGGAACAGTGTTTCCTCCAATCCAAGGAACATCCCTCTCTGTTGAAAAGACAAAGGGACCTTTTCAGTAGGGAAATCTGCAGATTTGGAATATAAAAGACACAAAAATGCTGAAGTCTTCCTCTTGAGCTTCTATAACATTTCTGTTGTCAGTATTCTGATCAGTCAGAGTCATCCTCAGTAACCCACAGTGCAGTCAGTGAGCGTGCAGATTTGGACAATAAACATTAAAAATGGGTGTCAGGTACCAGTAGAGGCCAGTATACACCAATTGAAATCCATCAAGAGGTCTGGTAGATCATGGGCTAGAAGGGAGTGGAAGCAGACTGACCCTCCTGGTGTGTTCAACACTGAAAAAGCAGCAGCTGTCCTGCCTTCAAGCAGAACCTTTGACATGTTGTCAGACATTATGTCAGCAGCTGAAAGAAGTTTTGGTGTAAGCATATGCAGAGGCAAAAAAAAAGAACCCAGACCAAATTTGGGATGAAAAAAAAAAAAACCAAAACAAAGGGGGAAAGGGTGACTGAATTAATTTATTTTGTGTGTGCAGATAATTGTAGCCTCAGCCTTTGGAGAGTCAAGCTAGAAGGCAGAGTAGCAGTGCCAGTGCTGGAGAGTCAAGGCAGCAAGAAAAAGAAAGAAAAAGGAGCAGCAGCAGCATAGGCGGCAGAGCAGTGGAAATGGAAGAGAACTGGAAAAGAGCCAAAACCACAAACATGGGGAAAAAAAATGAAAGAAGAGCAAAGAAAAAGAGATGATCAACAGGTTAAATCTTGTCACTTTACAGAATGACAGATGATTTAAAAAATACTTAATTTCTCATTCATCAGTCCTTCTATTCCTGAAAATTTGTTTTAGTTTTGGACATGCAGATCCATAGGAGACACAAACCCATCAAGATGTGGGTGTGTTCTGACTGGATTTGATACCAAGGGATACATAGCCAGTGCTTGGGACACCCAGGAAACACACATTCCTCTGGCATCAGTCCAGCATTTACTGATTAATGCAGGGACACACTGGTAGAACAGTGCTGGTTGAGTGGGGGGGAGGAATTCTCAGGAATGTTGGCTAAGCAGGCAGAGGGTGCTGGGATGAGCTTGCCAGGGTATGGTCCCCAAAGGGGTGTATATGAGGGGATGGCAGTAGGTTGGGATGTAGCATGGGATTCCGGGGTCCCTGGGTTGGAATCAACATTCTTGGAGAAGCTCCTGTGTCACCTTGTGTCTCCCTGGTTGCCTTCAGTCTCTCCCAGTCACTCCAGGACCATTCCATAATGGCTTTTTAACACCATGCACTGTCTCTTCTTGTGGAAAGGGAGGACAGGAATTGTCCCTGTCCAGGGACAGCTGGGGCTGGAGCACCTTGATCTGATTTCCACTAGCTTCTAGTGCTAGTTTCAGTCTAGTGTCCTCTCAAGTGCTGCCTGAGTATGACAGGATGGGACTGGAGCCATGAGGAGGCTGCAGGGACACCCCCTAACTCAGACCACCCTTGTTACTCCAGGCTTGCCCCCTGGAGCAGGTGCTGAGTCCCAAGAGACACAGAGTGCTGGTGTGGGAAAGCTGGGTTGAGTGCAGCTCTTTATGGAAGATATTGTGGGAATGAGAAATCCAGAAGTTAAAGAAAATTTGCAGGTGAGCTCCTGGAAGACACAAAGGTGGGGCTCAGGAGGAAGTCCTGTATGGCACCGCTGCAGGAATAGGGTGTGCAGCAGAAGGCACTGAGGAGTGTGGGACAATTAAATTGCTTCTGATTTCTGCAAAGAGTTTGAGCATGCAAGCAAGAATGGACGCAAAACCAAGGCAATGCAACCATTGCAATGGTGGTGGCTCCTCCATGAGTGTCATCCTCCATCTTGAAATGGCTCCGCCAGAATGGGATCTGATTACCACAGCCTTTCCGCTGGCAAAGCCATGCATTAGTGCCAGAAGTGTTCCAACAACTGAGCTAACAGAAAAATATGATTTTCATTCACTGGTATAGTAAATTGTATTCAATTATTTAAAAATCATCTGAAATTCACTAGCACTAAATTACTACTTCTCAGGTTCAGTGAAGGTGTCACAGCAAGTTAAATAAGTTGTGGTCCTTTCACAAAGATCAAGCACCTTCTTGATGACATGTCTTGGGACATGTCTTGATGACAAGACATGAACCACCTGTGAACCTGGTCTTGTTTGCTGGTGTGTATGGGAGCAAGAGCATCGATCTCATCCAGGAAAACAACTGAAGGTCACATCTGGTAGGCCTACAAAGAAAACAGGAACACTGGTATCAGGAAAACAGCACTGTTTGAAAGGGAAAATACATGAAAAACATTATGGTTACAAGAGCACTGGAACTGGTTAGTTTGGGGTTTTTTTGAGGGGGATGGTGGTGCTTTACAAAATTTTCTTGTTTGCATGATTAGTATTTCCCAATACACCCCAAGATTTCCAGACCCCCAAAACCCCACTGGAAAAGGAAACACTGACAGTCCAATTTCAGTGGAAGGACCCGACAAAACATGAAAAAGGATTTCTTCTTGACCACAGAAAATTAGTTACAACTCAGACAGAACATGTGGCATGTTTCAATCTTAATTACTCAAATAATAAATGAAACTCTCATTCACATTCTCTTACCCATTCACTCAGGCAGTTGACACCATTTCTCATAAAGAAGATTACTCCCCTGTTACCCTGGTTACATTCATTAGCAGCTGCACAAGCTACCAGAATCTTTCCAGTCCCTGGTGTACCATAGAATAGGAAGTCTCTGCAATTAAAAAAAAAAAAAAATCACACAAGAAAAAAATCATAATGGAAAAGTGTCTATTATAACCCCCATCCCTAAACAACACAGCTGTCCTTAGCAAAACACTTCATGGATAACAAACACAGCAGTAACAGCTAAAGTGTGAGAAAAGTCAAAAAGGGCTCCTACACAATTCAACAAGGCAGCAAATGAAATTAATAAAGAGGATAATGTGTATGTACAAAACATTTCTGAGAAAAGATAGTAACATCCCAGAAGGACACATCCAAAAGCTGTGACATATCAAGAGGGGTGGTTATAACACAGTGGAGCCAAACAAACTTCCAGTGCAGAAGCTGAGACCAGGATAACTTATAAATCACGTGTTCTACATATTCATTCTCGTTTTCACAAAAGGCAAGATTTGAGAATAAAGCATTTAATTGTCCCTTAAATAGCTTTAAATTTCTGGGTTTGGTCTCCCTTTGCGGGTGCTAAAGAAGTAATCTAAAGCTGGGAAGGTATTCTGCATTTCCATCAGCTAAAAAAACCAAGATGCTGCTGCTTCAAAATAAATTTCATTTCATAAAGAAGCAAAAGACAAAGATTTTCTTTTCATTGTTTGTAATACTTTCTGAAGTTACTGAAAGCAAAACATTTAAAGTCCCATTTGAATATAACATGACTGAATTTTGCTGACCAAAAATATATAATGTTAATTAAATCTCTAGTAATTTCATTTTGTAACACAGAACTCAGCTGTTACTCCTCTGTAAGAAGTGGACAGATTCTTATTTTAGCTCAAGGACAACAAAGACTGCAAGGTCCTAATTGCAAGTTCTGTCAATTTTTAAACTGATGCTTGAGCATTTGAAATAAACCCAACAGTTTGTGGGAGAGACAAGTGGGCTTCCATGAAGCAAACTACAGTTGACTACCAGTAGGTAATTCATTGTACATGAAACTCTAAAGGAAAAAAAAAAATCTCCAACTGCAGCTTTTAAAGGCAAGCCACCTTTAAAGGATAATCTCACTTGTCAGTAAATCTCTGAACCTAGATATATGCTGGTTTTCATAATTTTTTAAAATACTGCTTTTTAATTTTCTTAAACCTACTTTTTACTACTGCTAAAAAAAAAAAAACCATTCAACAGTGCTGAACATTTTGGAGCATTTTTATATGTTAAACAAAGCTACAACCTCAATAATGTTCCATCAGAATTTCAATGTCAGCACAAAGGAAAGATTCACGGCAATTTTCAAATTGCTTGAGAAAAACCTGTAAGCCAAGGGAGTTGTAGATAGCCCATTACTGGAAGCTTTCATAAATAGTGTAAATGTCTCACTGATATCATGGAGTAAAAATCCTTAATGAAACAACTATTTGCATTGGCTCAACATCAGACAGATTTACTTCAATTTTCATGTTATCCCTGTGAAGATTTGAAGTGAAAATGAAAGCTGTGTGCAAACAGTGTCCATTCAAAAATCATAAGGCAATTGAGGAAGCACAGTATAAGACAAGTGTTGCAGCATATCACTGCTATTTCATATTTTATGAAGAAGATATTTCCTCCACACTTAAAGCACAGCTCTGGCATAACTGACAGTAAGATTATAATTAGAGAGCAAAAATAAATGTCATTTTAGACAAGTTATGCTTTGGAATAAGTTTTTTTCAGCTAAATTAAAATTACAAATAAATAATCACTCTATGTGAAATAGTAAAATAAATTAGTGTCTACTTCTTCCAGTAGAACACCCCATGATCTCCCATCCTTTTCCTTCCATGCATCTTCTCTATACAGCCAGTTTTTTGCAAGATTGCTTCTGTAGTACTAAGATACAAATTTGACATGTAAGAGCAAAGATAGATAAATACAAAAAACCCCATTGAAACCGACACACATGATCTGTATGACATTTTGATATAGTGAACACACAGCAAGAATTACTGGCATTTAGCCAAGTTTTTTAAAACTACTTAAAAATTAGGTCAAGTGTTTCCTTTTTTTATACATACTTAGGAAGAAGTGTTTGCAGATTTGCAAACAGACCGTTTTCATATTTATTTTCCCCTCTTGCTAAACAGAGTAAAAAAAGAATTCTGAAGATATAGGAAGTTAACAGAAAAAAAATTATGGCAGGCTTTCACAGCACAAAAACTGCTTTGCATGATAACATTTAGTTCCCAGCCTTCCTCAGACAACAGGTTACTTATTCTCTTAAGCCAAGTTAAGGTCTTGTGCTGATTTTCCATGACTATACATGGTAGAAAGAGCATCTCACTGCTGTTAGTTACACTTTGTAAACCTTTCAGAAAACAATGTCAGTTTGCACTTCATGAAGAGAACTAAAACACAGACACGCAGGCAGAAACACTAGGACTGCTTCACTTTGCCTGTATCCAACTTTCTGCTGCATCTTAATTCAACTGGGTGTTATAAAATTATTTGTAAGCATGAAAGAAAAGTTAATTACCCACGAAGCTGCTTCTGATGCCAAGAAAATTGCATTAGATAACAAGTTAAATCTACAGAAGTTTACAACACAAAGAGAAAGGTTCACAGCAATTTTCTTTTTGATTCACAAGAACCAAGCCAGCCCATACATAAAAGATCCTCTGATGTAAAGATCTCTCTGCAACTAGCAACAGTTGAAAATGAAGACACTTGTGGCCAATTTATATATTGCCTGTGCCCAAATTCTTTACACATGAAGCACTGGCCAAATACACCCTGCTGCACAGAATCTGAGATTTGTGGCTTAAGCCACAAACACCTGTTTCCAAAAAACTCATGTTAAACGCTTGGCCCACACCTTATATAAATCAGTGCATTAAGAGTAATTACATGACAGCTCAGGTTGACACACTGGATGGATTTGAGGGAAAACTGGAAGACAAGATTGTCATGCTGTAGGTTGTTCAGAGCTCCATGTCCTGCTCCTTGCTCCCTTTCTGTGTGCCTCTTCCGCAGCAGGAGAAATGCAGCTCAGTGATGTGGCTCTTGCCTATCTGTGTCCCTGTCTGAGCTGGGATAGAAAATTCAGCTGAAAGTCAGAAAGTTCAGCAGTTTCATGATTTCTACTGGAAAGCCCCACTACCTATTTTTAATCTGCAGAAAAGCTAGACACAGTATTGCTCAATAATGTGAAATTTGAAAAATGAAACTGCCATATAGCATGTAAGTGAAATTTTCTTGGGGAGAGGGAAAAAAAAAAAAAAAAAAAAAAAGGCAACCCATTGGGCCATTTTCCAGCGCAGACTTTGGCATCAGAGCAACACCATCGAAGTTAACGGTGCTGTACCCTTTTACGTCTTCTTGCTCCACAGCTCTTCAGAACCTTCGCAGCCACCCATCCATCAAAGGCTGGAAATCCTGGAGGACCTGGTGAGCTGCTGAGCCGCCGGCTAGATTTGAAAAATACTGCTCTGGATGACTCGATGACACAAAAAATTCTGATACAGAAGGTGGAAGGGGCTCCTTGTGTTGACAGTGTTTCTGGTGGGAACCCTTCTGCCATAGTTTCTCTAGACTGACGAGCAACTCCTCAGACTGAAACATGTTACTAATTCCCTTCCATGTGCTGCGTAGAGAGAAGTGCTTAAAAACGTGCCCATCCTGAATTACCTCTGGGCGAGCATACTTAAGAGCCACGAGCACGCACACAGACCCGCGATCGTCCATAAAGAACGTCTCTCAAAAAAGCCCCAGCAGGTCGGTCTGGAGCCGGCAGCCTCCCGCTCCCACGAGGCGCCACCCGCGGGCCGGGCCGGGCCGGGCCGAGCCGAGCCGTTCCGTTCCGCCCTGCCCGCTCAGGGCGCTCCGCGGGCAGCCGGGGCCGGGCCGCTCTTCCTTCCCGCCCAAGATGGCGGCGGCCCCGCCCCGCCGGGCGGTGTCCCGGAGCCCGTCCCACGGCGTGGGGTGTATGACCGCGGCCGTGCGGCGGGTAGGGCAGGCGGCGGCCGGAGCGAGGTGTACCGGGTGAGCAGCACTGTCCGGCCGCGTTCTGGGCGCCCGGGGATGGCTTGGGTCGGGGCCGGCCGGGGAGCGAGAGGGAAACTTTCCTCGCGGAGCCCTTCTCCGCCGGGACTCCGGCCGCTCTCTCGCGGCCATGTTGGGAGCCGGGGGCTGCCCGGGGGGAAGGAGCGCCCCGGTGGGAGGCGGCGCTGGGCTCCGCTGTCCCGCCCGGGGCTGGGGCAGCGCCGCGTCCCGCCGGCAGGGAGGCAGGCGGCGGGGCGGGCAGGACGCGGGGAGGGAAGCGTCGGCGGCGGGCGCTAGCTTGTCCCAGGGCACTGAGAGAGTTGGGGGCTCTCGGAAACGAGTTCGTCTTCGGGAAAGGGGGGAAACAACAACAACAGCGGCGGCCCCGCGGCGTTACGTAAGTGCCCGAAACTCCTGGACTCGTGACTCCGCCGAGGCGCCGTGAGGCGGCGGGACGGGCGGGCGGGCGGAGGGCGCTTCCTGCCCCGGCGGGCTGGGGGCCGCGCTGCCCCGACCCTTGGCTCGCCCGGTGAGGCTCCGTGTCGGTCTCGGAGCGAGGCGCCTGAAAAGTGTTGGCACTGTTGTGACAAAACAGCGGAACCGCGAGTCGCGCGGCTCCGAGCATAAGGTGCTGGTTTTTTCCTCTATGAAATTCACCTATTTTGAGGGGAATGTAACTGGTCTGCCAGCGATACGTATGGCTCATAAGCTGTTTTCTGAAAGTAGCTCGAGAAAAGACAGCTGCATGTTTTTCCTCTCGCCTCATTCGAAATACTTTCTTCATAGGCACTCATGTTTATAAATGGCAAAACTGCTCATCGCGGCGAGAAAGCGATGGGTGATTCTGCTGAGCAGCACGTCCTGGCATCGGCTTTGTCCCTACTAAGGGGAATAGCTGTAACTCGAGTTTTGACATAAAGCATCGGTGCAATGGTTGTTGATAGCCAAAAGGACCTTTTATATCCTTAACCAGAGACCAGGAATCGTCTTTTGGCTGAATTGATGCAAATGGTTCCAGAAGCATCATTAAGTTCTAATTCAGGCTGTCCTCAGGCTGTGCTAAGAGTTTCTGAAAGGGTTGATGCTTATTTGAGAAACACTATATCCGAAGCTTCAATGTGCCTAACAGCTTAAGGTCAGATGAGGTTAATACAGTAGGCAAAGTGGCTCTAAAAGCAGACCCACAACACAGGAATCTGTTTCAGAACTGAGACTGCAAATTCCTCTTTCTCTCATGAAATAAGGAGAACTTAAATATCCAGATCTTAAGTTCTGATACTTGTATATTGAATTATTTTAGGGATACTTGTCTGAAAGAAGGGAAGTATTTAAAGACAGCAGTGTAATCGGTGCTGAGATCCTGCAGATTAATTGCTTTGTGTGCCGTCATCAGCATGCAGAATGGAATCGGTTCTTTAGCTCAGAAGGCAGTTGCTTTTAGCCTCTAATTTAAAAACTGTTGACTAATCCCAATGGGTATTAGGAATCCCAGTGTTGTAAAATGTCTTTTATATTAGCTCAGTTTCTTAAATAATACTTTTCCAAGAGTTTTAGTGCCGCCAATTTTGTTGAAAACAACAATGAAAGTGAAGTGTTGTATGCCTGAGTCCCAAATTCTTCCTTCTGAATGCAAATCAGCTGTGTGCCATTTGATGTGTCTGAGTTTTGCTCTACATACAAGCCCACATAGAGGAAGTTCCTTAAACACTAAATGAAAACTGTTGTGTAGAAATTTTTAGCTGGAGAAGCTGGTTCAGTTTCCAGTGTTGTATTCTGTAGAAAGAGAATACCATCTTTTCACCTGAAAAGCAAGTTTTCATTAGATGCAGCGATGAAATATTTTTTCAGCTAGAGCTTTGTTCTGTTACCCTTAAATCAAGGGCTGAGCTTTAACCGTAGTAAATAGACATGTCCCCAGAGTGACAGCAAGATCTATCCATAGTATCTTAAAGCGCTTTGGTTTACAAAAATTATCATTGGCAAAATGTTTGCTATCCTCAAAAGGTATGGTGACTTTTAAGTTTCACTATTGTGCTTAGTGGATGCAGGGTAGGTAGTTTCGGAGCAGTAAAGAGATGGAACTGCAATTTCAGGTGAGGCATGATATGACAGAGCATTGCCAAAAGCCCCATGAGAGCAGTTATGGCAGAATACAAACACTGGTTTCATACACTTACAGCATTTTTAGTGGCTTGTCTTTGCCAAAGAGGGCTAGAGGTGTTTAAGTGAAAGCTTAGGGTCAAGGCATGGCACATAGATAAGGCAGAATTGAATTTTTTAGTACTTGCAGACCTCATTTTCTGAAAATGTATGTTAGATAAAACATTGGAAGTGGTGTCCTAGCAAACTAATGGCATGTCAGTTTTTGCGCTTATTAATGGGCGATGTCAAATAAGGAAATCCCAGTACTAACAACTAATATGATTCTTAGAAGATGGTAGGTAAAAATAAAAATTTTTGATTTTTGTACTAGGAAATGAAACCTTGTTTTGTACAGCTTCAAATGGTAAAGGTGCTTTTGTGACTTATTTCAAGCTGTGTTAATATTTAAGCTTACTTTTTTCCATTTAATTTTTTTTTTAAGTTACAGATCATGCTTATATATGTATGTTTTATTATTTTCCTGAATTAATTCAGTATTTGGATGAAAGCATGATATTCCGAAAGAGAGTACTTACAGGCAAATGTGGATTTCTGAAATAGAAAAACGTATTTAAAACTTTCTCCCTAATGCAGCAAGTGCCAAGTTTGCTGTTGTAGGATAATTTTTCATGATTCATTGGAGGACTTGTTTTTATAGTTGAGGGGGATGAAAATCTACTCTATAGATAGGTGTGGTAGAATATGTTTACTAAAGATTGTTTTATTGTTGTTGTGAACTGTAAGATAGGATTACATTAGCGAGTAGAGTCCTGCAAATTCAGGGCTGCAAGAATGAGTCAAGTGGAAATGAGTCTCTACACATGAGAAGTGGCTTGATTGAGACTTGTAGGACAGAGATTCTCCTTTTATGAAAATAAATATTACTGTGCAGAAGTGTTATTGAACCGAAGAGTACTGCGTGTTTTTCAGCCTGCCACTTTAATGCTACACAGTCAAAAATGCACACATGTTGACTTTAGTTGCATTCATAGGTAAGAGGACTGCTTCTTTGGATATAATATCTTTTTTTTTTTTTTTTGGTCATTGGGTTGGGGTTTTTTTTTGCTTATTAGTGATTGTAAATAATTTAAGGATTTTAAAAATAAAGTGAGTGACTTTCTATTTTTCCTCTTTGCATCATTTTATTTTACAGCAAACAGTGTTAAAAGTACTGTGTATGTAATGTAGCAGGGTTTTGGCATTTGTCAGATTGCAAAAGAAGGAAAAAAAACCAGGTTAAAGTTAAGGATTTCAAATACAGAAATGTTGATCCTGCATCACCCTGTCCTCCAATCCCCAGTGTAATGTGGATTGTAAGAATGTGGGCGAATGTAATAAGATTACATGCAAGCAGTTGGTTACTGTGTGGAGAGGCAACCTCTTGAGAAATTTACTGATACAAAAAGACACAGGGGGCTTCTAAATAATGATAAATATGATCTTTGTATCAGCAGCTTTAGCTGTCTTTTAAGTGCTTCTTGTGCTTCCAATATATAGTCTAGAGGTAACTGTTTTGCTTTTAAGTGCTTAGTATGCCTTCTGAAGAAGGAAAAGTTACAGCATGTTTTTTAGCATCTGCATTTCTGAAGTGTACACATAATTTGCTAATCAAATTACCAGTGTACTGTACATACAGCCATTCAGATTGTCAGCATCTTCCTTATGCAGGTGAATTTCAGTGCAAACCTTTGTGCAGTTTTCCAGTTGTCTTCTTTATAGTCTGTACTCCAGTTGCTTTCCATGTAACTAAAATAAATCAAATACATCCAACAAGCAGTGAGAGGGAAAAGGGCCAGTGAATGCATTTCCCAGGAAGGCCATCACCTACAGTAAGCTGCTGTGATTAAGGGGTTCTTTCAGGAAATAACTCCTTGTTTTAACCCTTCTCCTGCTTTAAATGTCTCCTGCCTTAGCTGTCAATACTTGGTAATGTAAAACTTCTGAGAGTGATTTTCAGTGTACTTCTGTTCAGAAAGCTGTGTGTGACAGTGATTAGTTCCCCCTCCACCCCTCCCCCTCTCTGATCTAGATTAACAGCATTGAGGCAAGTGAACTGCCCTTTTAACACACAGGTTATGTTTGAAAAGCTGGTTACATTGAAGATCAATGAATTTTATTTATGGTATCATTGTTCTAGCTTTCCTTTTGGCTTTTATTAATAGCTGTCAGATGTTGGTTTTTTAGACCTTCATCATTCATCCATGTGTCACCAGGTAGCATAAGATGTTGATGTGAGAAAGGTCTTATTACATCCCTTGCTCAGAAAGAGAATTTGACCCTTGCCGTATAACCTTATGTGTTTTTAAATAATGCTGGATAAATATATTTTAAATACTGCTGGGGAGCAGTGACAGGTCCATGACTGCAGCACTTCAGTTCTGTCAAGCTTTCTGCAAATCTTGTGCAGTTTGATTCCAAGCCCTAAGCTGTGTTCCAGCTGCCTACACCTCTGGGATCTCCCGATGCCAGCTCTGCACATGGTTACTGGGGTGTGAGCCATTTTTGGTACCAATTTGGGCAACTTGTTTCAGTGGTTTTAAATAGTAGGAAAAGGATTCCCTGCAAGCAGTCATACTTGTCCTTCGTCTGTTCTCGCTGGTGAACTAGTGGTAGAAGTTACTTGGAGCTTTTTTTAATTAAGGAGTGAAGAATTTGAAAGAGTTCAGTATGTCTGTATGTTCTGTTTTTCCTACTATAATATTGAAAGTGTGCTCCAGCAGTGTTTTGTCTGATCCTCTTAGGTCAGTGATCAGCAGCCTGGCCTCCTGAAGGTATTTCTACAGTATAATGTATTATTAGGGTTACCTCTTAAAGTAGAAATTTCTTAGGTCAGGACCAGGAGAAAGTTGAGGTGATTGCACCTGCTCAGAGAAGAGAAGGTTGAGTGTTGTTACTTGCCTTGTCTTGTTTAGTTTTGTGGAAATGCTTAAAGTTACTGAGCTGATAAAAGAAACCTCTTTGTGCAGGTTCTTTTCCTATAACAGGATTCAAAGAGCACATGCAGATGAAAAAATTGATATAATAAAAATGAAATAGCAATGATGTTATGTTGCTGTGCTTGTAAATTGTGAGACTCCATGGGAAAACTTTGCTCTCTTTTAAAACATGGCTTGCTAAAAGTGGAAGTCCTTTTGTGTTGTAGTACTTTGTAGAAAATTAATGGCCCTGACTACTTGGTAACTCGCTCTAATTTGGTCATGCTGTGAATTATTACCTGTCCTCTAGTCCTTGTTAGACTGTTAGTGAAGTCAGTAACTTCTCTCATAATGGTAATAAAAGTGAACTGAAGAAAACTTAAAACAGAAAACTTTTTTTTAACACTATCTTGTTTAAGTACTTGTGCCTAATAAAAATATGTGAGCCACTGAACAGGCTGGTGTATTACAGGTTCGCATTTGTAGGGGAAAAAAGGAAAAGTAAATTCTGTGAACCTGATGGAGGTTGAAGGTCTTTGGAATATATAGCTGGTCTGGTAGCTCTCAGGTGCTGAAACAAGAAAAT